CTGTCTGTCTGTCTGTCTGTCCATGTGTATGTGTTGGTGCTGTTTGTGTGACCTGGCCACATGTCATATACCTTTATGATCAATTTTTGTGCAGAAGTGGGGAGCGCAGTATCACGCACCGGTTGCGGTGATTGCGCGGTTTGATTGCGGAGGCACACACCACCCGTGTGTTGCAGAAGCAGGCAACGCAGATCACGGTTCGGCTTGCAGAACGAGGTGCCTGGTGGTACAAGCTTTAACGTTGTATACGAGGCAACTGTGTGGCAGACGCAAAATGTCGAGGTCAGCGCTTCCAACCACGCACATTCATTCATACATGCGTGTCGCAGCCGTAGTCGCATCTCCCCAGAGGCCAAGAACGCTCCGACTCTCAACGCGCGCCTTCCACAGCCAAAGTGCCGCACCAGCCGTGTCATCGGCTTTCAGGCGGCAGCGATCAAACCTCACGACCGAGTCGCTGCACGGCATAGCGATCTCGACTGAGAGCACGGCTTGCAAGCGTCGAAAGCCTTGCGCCGAGCTTTGACAGAAGCTCAGACCGTCTCACACAGCACGCTGCCTCTAGGAAGTGCTCTCGGCACTGCTGGCAGCCGAAGAAGTTGGCTACGAATCCGCGGATTCGTGTTAACAGCTCCTACTGAAACGATGCAGGGAGTTTCTTTGGAATGCTTCAAAAAATCTCCCGTCCTGCCCAGCAGTCTCAGGCGGACCTTTGGCCTGCGTAGAGGACTTCAGCATCTTCAGCGCAGGAAACACTCGCGCAGCACATGGTAATACTACGCTGGATGGCCTGGCTCAGCACATGAAAGAGTGTCCACAATCCACATGTGAAACCTTCGAGACAGGAGATCGCAGCGAAACCAACATCCTTGTCACTCTCCCGGCTGTTTCTGTGCGAATCTGCAGAGCTGACTTGTAGTGCGGCCCTGGTGGCCTTTGCATCGACGCCAGTACGCATCGGGTTTGCTACCGGCCTGCTCAGGCCACGCTCACAGAGTGCCTTTCCGTCGCTCGGGCGCCTCTGGAGGTGCCCTGTCCAGCCCCTGCTTCAACAGGAGTTGCTGGAAGGCCGACACCGCTAACCTTGGCTACGTAATCGGTGAAGATGCTGAAGCTGTCTGAACAACACCGTGGATGGTCCCTTGTTGCCGACCGGTGGCGCATCTCCTGTCTCAGAAAGGCCGATGGCCTGCCAGCAGCCAAACATTGAGCACCACTGAATATTGACAGAAATTAGTAGTGTGGTTGGAAAATCAAAACCACCCAAAAGCCACGAACATTCACGCACCGTCGCCACAACTCGACAAGAAATCAAGCGGCTGCCTCACGAGTCTTGTCCGCCAATGCTTTCAGATCACGGTGGCTGGAGCCTGACGGAGCTGTCAGCTTTGACGGCAGCGAGGCATGAAGACTTCTGCCCTGGCCTGGCAATCTGCGACTTAGGAAGTCGAGCCAACCTGGCAAAGCAGCAGTAAACCTCGACTTAAACTCTCGTTTCTCCCTCGTTTCTTGGGGGCGCTCTCTGTCTCTCTTTACCAGGTAAGAGGAGAAGAGCGGGCTCTCCCCCCCCCCCGCATGCGAACTTTCAGAACTCCAACATGGTGCTATGCCTCGGGGCTTGACTCTACCACAGATCGGGCTCAGGCTTGCTCCGGCACATAAAGGCAATGCCAGCTGCATCGTGTGAAAGGTCTGCCCCTCGGGTGATGCACCACTCCCCTCCGGCACGTCATTAATTTCTGCGTGTCAACATGGGTACTCTCTCTCTCTCTCTCTCTCTACCGGACAAAGAATGCAGGAGGTCCACCCCACCCCCTCGCGCGCGAGCGCGCACCTGCGGTTCACTAGGTTTTGAGGAACTGCGCTGTGGGGGTTTCCCCGCAGACGGTTCGGCTGCACACGCCCACGCCCGAAGCTTACACTGTGGCTGGCAGTCAAGTCCTCCTAATCAGAAGAAATCAAACAAGCAAACATCCAACTGCAACTATCCCCCACCGTCCTGCCAGCCTGCTTTGGAGGAAAGAGGAAAAACGTGCATTACCCACGACTTCGCGCGAGATCGGGCAGACATTGGATTGCCACAAGTTGGAAACGAATTAAGGCCTCCTCGCCCCGAATTCATGGCAACTGCCAAAAAGGTGAGCTGAAAGAACCTGCGATTTGGATTTGGGGCTTGTGTCCAGCCCAGTTTGAATGGGTTTGCCTGAAGGGCCATGGGGCTTATTTAAAAAGTTCACACCTTGACACAGTTTGCCTTTTCGAAAATCCCCCATGTACAATGTACTACTCGGAAAGCCTTACACGAATTGCTGGACACAAGGCCCTTGCAATATAGCATTTTATGCAGTCCGTCAGCAATAGGGTGCAAGTTGCGCCTGTTTGAGAAACATGCGTAACTCTCGGGAAGCCTTTGCCCCCCTTACTGCTGTCGGCCTCCTTGCTGGAGCGGTCTTCCCCCTCTTGCACGACTTTTTGCCGTGTGCCTGAATCTGCTGCATATCCTGCCATCTTTGGTTGGGGACCAGCTGGACCTTATCCCCCCGTAATCCGGCCCTTCGTGGGCTGGTGTCGTCGTGGCGGCTCTCCATTGGCCTCGTTTGAACACGTCAGAGCTTGTGCGTCGGTCTGAGGGCCGCCCTCCATCCCCCCGCGGCCATTGGTTGCCATAGCTCTCCACGTTCTGCGGGGCGTCGATGTCTCCGTCTGTGTCTCCCCCCAGTCAGGTCACTTCGCTCTTTTGTCGCACGCTTATCAACCGGCTGTCTCTTCGTCTGTAGTTCTTCTCCGCGTTCAGGTTGTACTGCGGCGTTGCATCCCCCGGTGGAGCAGCCACATCTGCTGCATTTTGTGGCGTCAGCCGGAGTCCGGCTTCTGTAGCGGGCCAGAGGCACGTTCCCTTTATCTTCGCAACCATGGAATCTGCATGCCGGGTCTGTTCTTTCGTGGGTGGGTTGATTTATTCCCTGTCTGCGCCGTACCTGCACAGCTTGCACTCCTTCTCCACTCGGACTGCCATGGCTTCCAGGTAGGGCACACGTCACTACGTCCCCGTCCTTGCCCAAGTCACGATCACTGAGTTGAAGGTGTCCCCCGCCCAATGAACGTATGCTTTGAGTTCACCGTGGTCGCATAGTCATGGGAGCGGGTGGTGAAGAAATGTGAGGTAGCGGCTCAAATTTGCCCCCCTTAAAGATTGTTGGACCCTTCTACGACGGCGCGTTGGGCCGCCGAAGCAAAGTGGCGACAGGTACGGTGCTCAAGCACCGCTGGGGCAAGCGGGAAGGCTCCCCTGAGTGACAATCCAGGTTAACCCCCCGCCTCCCCCCCCGATGCAAAGAGGCGTCACAAGCCTCCAAGCAAAAGTGTAGTACTTGAGCCAAAAAGGCCACATGGCTAATCTCTCTCTCGCTTTCTCTCTCTCTGTCTCTCTATCTCTCTGAGGTGCGGCTGAGGAGCGCTGGAGCTCTTCCAAGCTCTGACCTCTCAGCGTGCCATCTGCGCTGCCTTCCAACGAGGGAAAACGAATAATGCTTTGCTGCTACTACGAATAAAAAAGTCAAGTCCTCTGACGTTGCTTTGTGCTGTTTTGCCACCGCTATCGGCTTCATTCTGGAATACCCGCCAGCCTTTGAGGAAAGCGCCTTGGCTGAGGGAATACAATATGGCCACCTCGGCGGAATACATCTTGAAATTCAGAGTCCCGGCAACCCCAAACTTTGAAGAATGACATTGTCTTGGCAGACTCGCCTCTGCATCAACAAGGTGAAGCGCTGGTAGCGCATCTCGGAGAACCTGCCGGCTTCTCCACTCGGCTCCAAGTTTGTGCAACTCTGTGGCAGTGCTTGAGATGCTTCAGCTTTCGACCTCCGTTTGGCGAAGAACACTGGCAGGTGCAACTGATGTGGCGCCTCCGGCCTGGAACGTGGGAAGCGCCATGCAGTAGCAAAGGCTCCCAGCCCCCGGCCTCGTTTCTTGGAGCACCGCGCAGTCCTCAGCCGCATTATGCCGCATTGGAGCATGAGGCATCCCGACAGGTTTCCATATTCAGCAGGCCTGGATTTATCGAGGATGTCCCCAATGCTGGCACCTGCGGCTCAGCTTCTGAAGTCTGTCCAGGATGTCTGGCTGCATGGTGGGGGGGGAAGGTCCGCAGGGCCCCGCAGGGCACCGGGCACCGTGTGCAGACCAAGCAGGGTGAGGTTGCCAGCCTCCGAAGAGCGCAGCAGCAAAGCGCAGCAACGCGATAGGTCGAAAGGTCGAGGCTCGGCTTCGGTCTTCGGCCTCTGTTCCAGGCTGCGTAGGCGAAGGGGTGTTCTTTCGAATCCAAGCCTCAGTTTCGTGTGCTGACCCCAGCAATGGAAGATATCGACTTGGGCCGAGGGCAACAAAGGCGTCTTGCTGGTGAACCATCTTTTTGTCCTCATTCGCGACGGAGCTTCCCCACCCTACAACCCCTCAGGGACAGTGCGCCAGAAACTCTTCACAGACGTGAGAGACATGGCTGCAAGCAAGGATCAGGATTTTTCCCACCCAAGGGCGAGCCAGTATCGCCTGAAGGGGCTCGGCTTCGACTCCGAGGTCTCTTGAAGTTTGTCAAGTTTTCTTTGAACAGCTGAGGGCGGACCTTTGAAGTGGTACGTCCGGACGGTAGGGTACCCGCTGACTTGAATCTTCATGCAGAAGGCCAAGAAGTCCGGACAGTTCAACTGAGCCAGATGCAGGAGCAATGGTCAAAATGCCAGTCCGAACAACCACAACAAGCCTGACAACAAGCATGCGATCACAAACAACAACATGTGAAGCTGCATTGCTCTTGCAGAGCGGCAGCGCCAAAGTGCACCTCAGAGCAAGACTGTCTCAGGCAAGGTTCGGCACATGGGCAAAAGGAGCAATACCAGCCAGACTTTGCCCGAGGCAACGACGGCTCCTTGGTGAGCAGGCGACACGGCACCAGCAATCCTGTGCAAACAAAATGGCTCTTGCTGCTCGCGCTCTTTCCGAACCACACAGTACGTATGCAACTGACTACAAAAAGATGCCACCATAAAATCTCGGCCTCTCAAAAACGGGAGCATAGTGATGGCAATGTGGACACCAGTCGGCATAGTACATCACCACCCAGGGATTCCTGCTTCGCCGTTCAACACAAAGCTTTGGGATTGCGCAAGATCCGGAACGGCACCAAGCGAAAGAGCCTGCAGCTAACGTACAGACATGACCTTGTGGCGGCGTCTTGCTCTTTCGAACGTTCAGCATCAGCAGCAGCAGCAGATCAATGTAGTAGCCGCTAGGCGCAACCTTGAAAGGCGATGAGCATCAAACCCTAAGCTCTGAAGATACACACCGGTTATGGCTGGCCACCCCCAAACCATAAAGCAATGACGGCTAGCAGACCCTCAGGCGCGGAGTGACGCGGCAGCAACTCTCCAAAACCTAAGAAGCATGGTAGGCAAGACGGACTGGCTAGCAAAACTGGATGGTGGTGACGTGATGTGCAATTCGCCTCGGCCCCGGCCGAAGCGGTCAGGGGTTCCTATTCGGACTTCCTCTATTCCCCACCTCTTAATCCCCTCCCCAGTGACCCCCACCCTCCAAAAGGGATATTGGGGGGGTGGGGCGGTCGCTTTGTGTGAACGTGAACCCGAAAATGAGCCCCAGGGTCCTGCGGCGAAATTTCGCCTCTCCAATGGATTTGGGCTCTCTCTTCCCGACCCCTGCTTCCCCCTCCCAAGTCCCCTTTCCCGGTTCCTCTGCCTTGCTTCCGGTTGTACACACTCCTCCCCTTCCCCGGCTCTCGTCTGCTTTGCCAACGGCGTTCAAGGCACCAGCAGTTCGTGAGCCCTCCGTTAAATCTCGAAACCCCAAAATCCAAAACCCCCTAACCCTTAAATTTTAAACCCCCAAACTTCGAAACCCGAAACCCGAAACCCTCAAACCCGAAACCCATAGACCCCTAAAGGCTAAACAGTAAACCCTCTCCCCCCTTGCTTCCCTTTTTGTGTGGCAGGAAGTTGATGCGCCGCCTCTGCTTGCTTGTACGCAATCTCCTCCCCTTCCCCGGTCCTCGTCCGCTCCGCCAACGGCGCCCAGCAGTTCGTTGGCACTCTTTGTTTGCTTCCGTGCCGAGGCGGACGACGCGCAGCGTTTGAAATTAACCCTGACTCTATAGGACTGTAGGAGGGACCCCTAATAGGGACCCTGTATCCCATTACCTTAAACAACCATTGTATAGTCCTTATATACCCCTTATATAGCCAGGTAGTCTCCATATTAACCCCAATAACCTACAAGGGTCCCTATTTCGGGTCCCTCCTAAAGCCCTTAGACTAACACCTTTATAAATCAACGGGTCTGCTATCAGCAGCTATTCGGCTCAACCCAGCTGCAACCAGGCCCGCGTGAGAGAGCGCTGAAGCCACAACAAAAAAACAAAGCCCTGACAACGACAAAAAACCTTCAGGAATTCAACCGGCTGCGAAACCCCAGTCGGATGCCCAAACAAGTGAACTGGCCGTGCTTGTCTTGAAGCTAAAGCCGAAAACCCGTGACCCTGAACCCTAAACCGACAGTAAACCCCATAGACCGCGAACCCCTAAAGGTAAATTTTCAATCTGTAGGTGTGTTGTTTGTCGAATCGGTCGTTGCCGTTGTCCGAATCCTTTTGCAGATTCCCACCCCCCCCCTCCCCCCACCCGCATGTATTCCGAAGCCGCATTTGTTTGCTGTGCTTTCCATCTCCGGCTCGTTTTGAGAACCAGGCTTCGAGCCTCTGTTCGTTGGAGGCCCCCCCCGGCCAGCTATCAGAGTCACAAAGCCACGAAATGGCGGTCCTAGCGTTGGCGATTTCGGTCTCCACTCTGGCTGCCTCCAGCCTGAGCCAAAGAGTGCCCGACCTCTACTCTTCCAGAATCTACGGGAGAAAGTCGGAGAAAACTGTGGATGCTGTCCTGCATCTACTTTAGCTGAGTCGCTCGTCGACATTCCTTTGCAGGACACGATGCAACACATCTGTTGCCTTCTACTCTTCTTGCCAAGAGCTTCTTGCACAGTGTCCCCACTCCACAAATCCATCAGGAGCAGCGCAAGACAGGCCCATGAAGTCGAAACAGCTGATCCATGCAATCATGTGCAATCTAAGAATCTTCGACGCCTGGAAAAGTTTCTTTCCGCCTGCAGCGGTGCCGTACCGCACGAAGAGGCAGAGCACCTAAAGCGAGTCAAGAACAGAGCCAAGCGAAGAATGTCTGCCTGGGTTCCCTGCAGTCGACATGGACATGCTTGCGCTGCCGCTCCGACAGCTTAGTGATGAGACGGTTGAGACCGCGACTGCCAAGCATGTTCCGGCTTGGAAACCAGCCATGGCAGCGACCGCATATCATGCTCGACCCAAAGGGATGAGATGTTTGACCATGCCAGAATGTCGCGTCAACGCCGCTTATAGTGTCCAAACTGGCGGGGGTCAGTCAAACACCCATCAAGGACGGGGACACTAGCCGGTGACTCAAACGGCTGCTACATCGCGGTCGGGGCCTCACGCAATCTGTGGCAAGCTTAATTCTGAAACGAACTGCCTACACCACCTGCGCAAACAAGCACCGGATACAGTATCTGCATACAACCTATCATATAACCGTTGCCTCATGTTGCCTCATACTGCTCGCTTCCACACACAAACAACCGAAGTGATAGCAGCCTAACGCCAGCGGCTGTCGGTGAAGACGGTGGTGGCGAGTGGCTCACATTGTGAACCACTCCTGACACTGCACTTCGTTTGATGCCGTCTACTGAAGAACTATCGGAAGTGTGTCCGATCACCAGATCCACTTGCTGTCGGCTGCGTGGGTCGACGTGCATGGGGCGTCATTACTGCAGCATGGTCCGTCCCATCTACAAGTAGGGTCTGCTGCAAAAGAACCCTCCGAAGGGGGGGGGGGGGAGACAGCGAACCCGCTTCCTGCTCAAGACTCCAGAGTAGCTGGTAAGCCCGCCAACCAAATCGACGCCTCCTGCACGACGCTGTTCACGCTGAAGCGGCGTCACCTGCAGAACCAGCAATCGAAGACTGTTTGAGGCAGCCGGGACTCTCTTCGAAGCCGCTATGCCTCTACACTCGGTTCAGGAAACAGGTTCGAGAGGCAAATCAGGAGCGGAGAGATACATTTCAAATGCAGAAAACAAACAAAGTTGATGCTGCGTGTTTAAGTGGGACCGCTGCAAACTGGGTGAGAGAGCTACTAGCAGCTACTACCTTGTTCACAACCACCGACAGCGTAGACAAGCTCCGAATCAAACCGCAACAAACGCTGCCCAGGCAGCAAGATCTCAAGCAGGAGACGATTTTGGAGTGCTGCGTGCTCTCTCCCTCTCTCTCTCTCTCTCTCCCTCCTCTCTCTCTCTCTCTCTCATTTGGCAGGCTTTTGGCCTCACCGGACAAGTAGCGCCTAGAGCTAGCGACCTGTCATTCCAGCATTCGGGGGCTCCCTGTCAAAGTACAGGAAAGCAAAGTGAAGCCGGATGCCTCCCTGGAGGGGCAGCGGTAGAAACTGGACTGCCTTGCCTGACATCCACGAGTATTTACGTCCGAACGCTGGTCTCTCAATGCTTGACAGCATCGCCCGTGCCGGCACCGTCGGCATCGTGGCGGGTCCTGGATAAACAGACATGCCACGAAGAAATGGAAAGACCACAAGGACGGCCAAAGCTCCTCGGCCGGGAACCGCTCAACCCTGCTTTCATGGATGTTCCTCTCTCTATGTCTGAGCCAAGGCATGGCATTCAGAACAGCCCGAATGCCTGTAACAACCCCTCATGAGAGGCTCCAGTGCTTCTGCAGACTCAGCACTTTTCAGCTTCCCAAATGGTCTGCTGCGTGTCAGGTTTGTGGCGTCTTGGCCCGTTCTTCTCGGTGAAACACACTGCGCTGTTCATGAAAATTCTGAGCATGGTAATTCAGCTGAGAAGGCTGCGGCCAAGGCAGTAACAAAATTCAGAGTCCAAAGTGTGACAACGCGTCACTCACTGCAGGTTCCATTCAGGCTTCCGGAAATGCTGCCTGATTTTGCGAGGCCGTCACCATGACGTTTCATATATGCGAAATGCAAACGAAGCCTGAGTGGAACAATACGGTCACTGAAAAGAGAAGCTCGCTAACATGTGTCTTCGGAAAGAGCTAGTGCTGCCTCACTCCTCTTTGATGACGCCAACAATGTCCTGCAGCTCGGAAGTTAACTGACTTTACGCACCCGGGCGACAACTTGTTTCTGCCGTCGTAAACATAGCTTGCTAATTGCTGCAATGTCTTGACTGAGAAACGCAACTGCACTGCCTCGTCCCGGTAGATTTGGTACTCTTCGTCGTCAAGCTTGATCTGCAAGTATTGCTAAACTGGAGCATGGATATGAATAACGTGGAAGAACAGATCACGTTGTGCTGTAGGTGCATTCCCATCTTGCAGGTGGCACCTCTGTTCCACCATACCGAGGGATGACCACGACATCTCCGACCTAGAAACATGCCAAACAGGTCAAAATCAAGAAACAAAGCTTCCCGGTGAGCCGGTGGCCTGGGTTTGCATCGGGATGATCTCGCCTTGCTGGTTTCTTCGCCCGAGTCCAACAGCCAACACCTTCGCCTGAAACAAAGATCTGAGGGTTAGAGAACGCCAGGCGGTCTAATACTGAATTTTCACGAGTCTTTGCCTGATTCATTTCCTGCTTGGCGGAGTCAGGCAGCAAAATTCCACCGGCAGACTTGGCTTCCGCCTTGGCGCAAGCCGCCGCTTCCGGCAAAGGCGCAAGGCCAGAACAACTGGAAGGCTTCACTGGCAAGGATTCTTAAGCCCGGAGCCTTGAGCTTCTGTACCAAAATGCCTGGGATCGCCAGAGAGAGCAAGGATCATGATGAGCATAAGGTGATGACCGCGGAAAAAAAGATTTCAAGCTAGAGGTCCTGCAGCTCGGTTTTTGTGGCTCCCGTTGGTCAGTGTAGTGATACACTTCGACCGTTTCTCCCTGCCGCGGGAACAGTGTTGCGAAGAAGTTTCTGCCCACATGGGAGGGTCTGGGGAGTCTTCGGCGCAGAGTACCTCCAAAACAAGTAACATTCAATTTCAGTTTGTTCGCCACTTCTTTCTGTCAAAATGTTGCTCACTATTGCTTTCTTTCGTTCTTTCTCTATTCATTCTTTATCTCTCCTCCTTTTTCGTTCGGTATTGCTTTCCTTCTGGTTTCTCTGGTTCTGTCTTCCCCTCAATCATTGCTTGTTTTCCTTCTCTCCTCCTCTCTATCTTCCTTTCGGGGTTCTTGCTTGCTGTCTTGCTTGCTAGGCGTTTGGAGGTTCGGGCTTGCGCCGTCCCCTTCTGCGCAGAAACACTACGCCAAGGTTCGACGAACAGAGGGTTGGAGAAGTGTGGGAAGCTCACTGCTGCAGGCTCTAATTTGGAAGAACAGTCCCCGAATTTCACAGCTACCATCACAAACACCCCGCCCCCGCAGCACTGAGCTTCCAACCACTTTGCGTCGATCTTTGCCCCGACAAGAACAAAAGCACGACAATGCAGCACCGGGCGTCTCTCTACATTCCAAGTAGAGCAGCAAAGAAAAGAAGGGATACATCTGTCTACGAATTTTTCCCTCTCGTTGCTGTTCTCCTCCCTGAGCCTCGACGAACTGGAGCTTCTGGAAGGCGTCGGATGATCCTCCGCGGGTTTATGAGAGCCGTGTGCTGTTGTAGTAGAGCTCGAAGCTGTGCACTTGGTGGATCGGGTGGATCGGGTTGTAGGCGGTGACACCGTGGTCCCTACCGTTGGGTGTAGCAGAGGTCCGAGTTCGCGTTTTCGCTGGGGAGCTCTCTAAGGAAGGACGGGACCTGGGCTCAGTTCGTGGCATCGCACCCGTGAAAATCACATCGCGGGTCTCCACTGCGATGTCCACCATGGTACTGGTAGCTCATCCAGACTTTTCCTCGTGGTTCTGTGTCTCCCATGTCGATCCCCGTGTTCTCCGTGGCCACCGTACTCGCAGGTCAAAGCCTCCAAGACGCACGATTTCGGCACGGCACCTACACTTCGGGGGGAAGCTGGGACTCCGCTCGGGCAGATGTCCACCCGCAGGCTAAGGGAGACACCCTCCCCCGAGCCAAAGCACCGCCGCCGAGCTCAACCCCCGAAAGGACGCGACAGGTGACTTGAGCCAAAGCTACTTTCGGGTTTATCTTTGTAGGTTATTCGTTGTTTCGTTCGTTCTTTCTGTCCTTCTTTTCTTCTGTCTTTCTTTCGTTCGCTCTTTCTTTCTGTACGTCTGCCTTTCTGTAAGTATTTCTACATTCCTTTGTTGTGTATTTCCTTGATTAGGTTTTTATGTATTTTTGTCGTTCGTCATTCGATTATTTTGTTATGTCGTTCTTTCTTTTTCTGCAGTTTGTGATTTATATGTTTATCTAGTTCGTTGTTTCGTTCGTTCTTTATGTCTTTATTTATGTATTTCGTTATTTATCTATGTCGTCGTCCTTCGTTCGTTCGTTCTTTCTTTCGTTATTAATGTATTTATGTCGTTCGTTATTGTGTTATTTCGTTCGCTGTTTCTTTAGTTTGTTCGTTCTTTCTTTGTTTATTTACGTATTTAGTTATTCATTGCTTTGTTTTTTAGTTACTTGCTTGTGTCGTTCTGTCTTTATGTAGGTATTTCTTTCTTTCGGTGGTTCTTTCGTTCTTTCATTATGTCGTTCGTTCTCTATTTCTTTCCTCTTGCTGATGTTTTTTCCTTCTTCCTTGCTCCCCCGCCCCACCCCTCTCCTGGGCCCCTTTCACCGTCGTACGAGCTCGCTCGTCAACGAGGAGTCGAAAAGAAGCCTGCGGTGACAGTGAAACAGTCTTACTCAACGCAGCTTGCTGTCTTCAGTTGTGCAGATGTTCGCTGCTCCTATGTTGCCCGGGAGGGAAGGGTGGACCTCAAGCTAGGGGGGAGGGCCCCCCTGGTGCATCAGGAGCTAGGGCCCCTGAAGTCGCGTGTGACCCGAACCAAATCTGCAAACGACAACTCCCTCAAGCTCCAAAGGAGCTATCTTTCGTCATAAGCAGCCCATAGCAGCCCAAACCTCAAGCCCTTATAGGGCGCTAAGCGTTGAACCCCAAAATGGAGGGATTCTTGTTGGACTTACCCTGCGACTGCAAACCTAAATACAAGCAGGGTCAGGGAACGGCGAGGCCGAAAACTGCAATGTGAGAAGTGTGAGTTGCAAACAGCTCAGCCCAAACCCCAAACGCTAATGGCAACATGAAATGGGAGGGGAGTGGCAAGCCTAGATACACGGAAGACTTGCAGAGTGGCAGAGCCAACACTTGGAAGGGGGAGCGGCAATCAACTCAAAGCCCAAACTCGAATCGAGTGGAAAGCCCTAAGCTTGACAAGATGGGGCGTGCACGCTAGCCTAACCCTAGCCAGGCAAACCCAAATCCGAACAGGGTCCAAAAGCGGAAAAGTATACGACGCACAAGGTGGGAGTGGCAAACCGCCCAAAGCTTATAACCGAATCGGGGGGACGAACGCCAAACCATTAAAACGGGGGGAGGGGGCTGACAAACAGTCAAACTCAAACCCGAATCGGGTGGCAAGCCTTCATAAACTCTATAAATTGGGGGCACGGTGAACTCGAACCTCGAAGCCTTCATAAACTCTATAAATTGGGGGCACAGTGAACTCGAACCTCGAAAAGGAGCGGAGTTGCAAAGCTGACTCCAAAAAAGAGACGAGGAGCGGCGAAGCCTAGAACTGTAGGCGGTGAAAGAGGAAACGTCCGCAAATTGGACGACAAGCCCCAAGTCGTAAATGTGGGCAGTAGGCTCAAGCCCCAACCTCAAAAGGACAGGAAGTTGCGAGACCTGAATCCAGAAAGGCTTGGGCATTGGAAACTATTCTCCGTTTCCAACCCACGAAATGGAGACTTACGCAATGCACCTGGTGGGCATGCACTTTTACAACCAAGTATACCGTCAAAAGCCGCAGACTAAATTTCAAGCCATGTTTGGCAAGCTCACAAAGTGATGTGCCACGCACCAAAGCGCTGGTCAAGTAACATGCTCCGTCGAGACAGAAGTCTGAACTCTTCTTAGAGGTTAGTGAGGTTAGAGTTTGATAAGAGACTGCTCATACACTTCGCGGCATTCTGAGCACTCTGCTACAATACATGAGTCTCTCTGCAGCGCAGGTACGATCCGCCAGCGGCATGAATCGCTTGAATGCCTGCGCCATGTCGGTTCCTGGCGTTTGCAGGTCACAGAGGCACATGCTTCAGCACCAGCTTCTGACTCTTGCAGTCTCCGGGCTGCCACGTTCGATGTTGCAGCGACAACCCAATAGCCATGTCTCAAGAAGACTCCCTTTCCCAAGGCACCAGCTGCACCCTCCAGCCAAGACACCACTTCGCAGATGCAGCAGCAGTTGGTAGGCTTGAGCCCGATGCTCAGCAGCTTGCGGTTGCATCTCCAAGAATGACTATGTATATGACTCATGCAGTCACAGCCCCTAGCAATCCCCACCACATCCAGCTGCGCTACCTCATGGGTTTGACTATCTTTTTCGACCTGCTGTTTGACGTGGTGATTTCGGACACTCTGCAGGCTTTCTGGCTGAAGAAAACAACTTTGGACAAAGAGCTGGAATTCCTTATGGAACGAAACCAGTTCAAACGAGATGTTGTCAAGCCCACCAAGCTGCAGCTACAGACCTGCGTTGGAAGCAATCGTACGTAATTTCAGTGCCATGTCAGATCGTCGCCCATCTCAGACAAGCCGGGTGAGACCCCAGAAGCTGATCACCTCGCAGACGAAGCGAAACTAGGACTATGTGAACCCCCGAGATTTCTGGTTGGCACGCTCTCCTTTTGCAAGTAGCCGCCGCGGGAATGAGAATGGGAGGTGGAGGAGTGCAATGGCAAGTATGTCAAACCGGGACTCAGATCAAGGTGCACGAAACCAGAACCGTTACAGGCATCGCTGAGTTCGCCACTATGGGCACCTCACTTGTGTTTGCATCATGGATAGCTGGGCGTTGCGTTGCAACGGCTGCCTCCGTACCTGAAGCTTAGTGCTGCGCAGTGAGGATCCCAGTCACGTAGAGCATCGAGGGCCTCCAAACGACAGAAGCAGGACGATGCTGAGCCAAGAACCCACCGAGGCCAAGGCGTCTCGATGTACTCATGCTCGGCATGAGATCGCCTCGGAGGCAAGCACAAGCACACACACTCTAGCACGCATCCGGCACTTTCCACTGCAAACCAGGCTTTTTGCAAGAGGTCCTGGCGAGGCTGGCTTAAACTCCTTCTTCACGACCTTCCAGAAGACTCGTTTCGATGCTCTGGACTCGATACAAACAGGAACTCGCAGGGCGTCACTCCGCAGCTGAAGCATCCCACAAATGCCCGCTAGTGCTTGCAAGTCAAAGGCTGGCTGCTGCACGTTGTACTTGTGGGGCCGGGACAGGTCCGGCAAAGTTACGCACAAACTGCTGCTGCTGCTGCTGCCTGAGCGCCGGCTTGAACTCGCTTGGACTCGCGATAGCAGGCCACAGACTCGCACTGCTAGAGGAAACGTGGATGGCTTTTATAAATTCTGAATCGTTCGCATGAAGCATCAACTGGTGAGTGCCAGGACATTGTGCCATGTCCAGCAAAATCCGCCTTTCTTAGGATGTGGCAGCACAGGACTGCCACGCACAAGAACCGCCTCACGGCTGACAACCTCATTATTGCCAAACTGATAGGAAGAGGACGAGGACAATGCAGAGTCATGTGCTGGCTTGAGATTTCTGTACAAAATCTGCGGTGTTGGGGCTGCAGCACGAAGAGCCTGCCTCAGCATGTTGGCCACCTGGGCTTGGGTTCCTTCTCAGAGATAAACTATGCTGCCACTACGACATCGTCATGCGTCGACCCTCGATGGGTGTTCGCGGTGCTGTGGACACCTGGGTCACCGGACAAAGTCCAGCGGAAGCCGAGTCGAAGCTTTTGATCACTCAGGGTTTGGGCAGCTCTTGAGCCTGGATCGCACATGCATCGAACATCATCGATTGCGGCGAGCCTTGCTGTCAGCTCGTTCAAATCTGCATCTACACAGGACTGCGTGGCTGGTGCTGCCTTTTCTATAATCCTCTCCGCACCATTGTAGCATCTACTTGGGTCCAACCAGATGAAAACGGCCACTGCAAGCAGCCAAAGCTGCATCGTACTCCCTCGCTTTAGGCGGCTCACTGCGCGTTTTTCAGGTGTATCCACGATGGCCTTTGGCCAGTCCGGGAGCAAAGCACATGACCTTCGTAACGGCTCAGCACAGTATTGTTCAATCAGGCGTGACTTGCAGAGTCAGATGCCACGGCACGCCTTTGGTAACTTGCTTAGAGTTCTGGGCGGCACACAAGAAGTCCAACCAGCAAGCTGAAGCCAAGTGCCATGACGGCAAAGGCAAAGATGGCCTGAGAAAAGTGCTTCAACCACACTTTTCGCTCTTTCGCCTCCGACTAGACTCACATTCCAGCACGTTTCTGTTCTGGTACCAGCACGGTGAATGTCATCCACCCAAGATACGTCCGTCAAAAACTTGAGGGAAACTGGCAGCGAGTGCGTCTGCACAAACTGTGGGTATGGGTGTGTGCAGAGTAGGTGGTAGGTGGTGGTAGGTGGTGGTAGGTGGTGGTATGTGGTGGCAGGTGGTGGCGGGTGGTGGCGGGTGGTGGCGGGTGGTGGCGGGTGGTGGCGGGTGGTGGCGAGTGGTGGAGGTCATGGTCGTCGGGCTGGCTGCGGCTGCTGCGGCTGCTCCGGCGGCTGCGGCTGCTGCGGCTGCTGCTGCAGCTGCTGCTGCGGCTGCTGCTCTGCTACTGCTGGAAGCCGTTCTCGACTGTACCCAGATTCTAAGTACCCAAACAAACACTCCAAACCACGCCTCGTGATTCCCACCCAACCCACTGCCCACCACTCAGAAAGATCAATCGCACCGAAGCGGCTACCATGGCAAACGAAGACTGCTGTTGTAAGCTACACGCAGGATCAGAAGAGACAAGGGTGGCAGTCAGGACTCAGACCAATTAGACCAAATGTTACAAAGACGCTACCAGTCTAGGGCACAAGCACGCTGCACAAAGAGGACAGATGTCTCGGCGTTGCTCTCCGAGGGGATCGCCTTCGCGCTGTCTATGCCCAGACAGAGATGCAAGTGATGAGGTTTCGCTGTGCCGTCCTGTGCTTCGACTGCTGGCAGTGGCATGTCCTGCAACCGTCAGCAAAGGCCGTCCAGTGGTAGCTACGCATAGCTGGCCTCACCCTGAGCCACTGTGTTCGGAAGAGAGGTGTACACAGACCTCACCCCAGCCAAGACCTGGACTTCCGAGATGCGAGACGGGACTAACACGAGAGGATCTCTCTGAGCTCTGGGACTGCATCTGCCACACTGCCAGTATGCAGCGACTTCGTCACGACTTGCGGGGCCTTGGCACCTTGCTCCTGCGCACGCTTGAATCTGCAGGTGGATCGCGCAGCTGGACAGTCAGCAAGCAAGTTCGTCCTCGCACACATACCGACAAGACTCCGTCACCAGCACTGCCTCATCTCCATGCAGGACGCTCTAGATTCACGCATTCGTGGCAGAGAAATTGATTTCGGAAGAGTTTTATCACATTTGCCTGGCTTCTGTCTGGAACGATCAGAAGCAGGGCCTGATTGGGACCTCGGAAGGGTGAAGTACCAAAGTCGTCTCATCCCAGCAAGCTGCAAATCAGGCAAGCACAACGCATGATCTGCCCGTTGGCAGCGGAGTTTCCCATGTTCCATTCAGACCTCATGCAGTCACTTTGGACATAGGGCTGCAGGCGCCCAATTTTACACTAAGCACGCTGCAGAATTAAGTGTCCATATTGTCGCAGGGTTGACAGGCCCATTTCAGCTCCATTGGCCTGCCGACAAGACGACACTCATGCTCAAGTGTTCTGCAAAGCAACACGAAGCCTGGAGCAACCACAGACAGAGAGTGCCTGGGCGATGGCCACTCCCACATAGAAGGGCTGCAAGTGCCGCTGGTCGATCTGGATTGATCATAGTTTAGTTCCAGCAATCTCAAAGCTCTTTTTAAAATGACACCGCCCGGCGCCGACAGGGACTCTGGCCGGCTCTTGTATCAGGTCCTCACAAACCACCAGATACTGCGATCGCAGCCTGGGATCAGAGGGGTTGTTGAATGCTTCTGTGCATACCCGCAGCTTCCAGAAGCTTTGATTGAAAGTGAAGGCTTCACGAGAGCTGGGACGCACAAAGTCAAAGGCAGCTGTAGCAGTTGAAGTAAACCGGACGCGTCCCACGCGTCTACTGACACTGTCGAGGGCCGTGCTTCTCCAGCTCTAAAGACAGAGTCTGGCCTGGCATGTGTGCAACGGCAAAAGCCGCTCTATGAAGAATAGTACCGTAGCTGCGTATTCCAGAGATCGTCGACGCGATGAAAGAATTGAACCGTGGGCCTTCCGAGGTGCTGAGGAAAGCGTAGGGATCACAAACAGGCCTTGCGAGGCAAAGGCGGCACCGCGAAGCTGTGCAACGACCTCGTCTAGGGGCTGCACGCGTCGTTGTTTCTGCAAACAGGCTCCTGCTTCGCGACGTGATCAATGATGCTTCCACGGGTTGACAGGCATGAGCAATGGCATAACATGGCAATCCTGGTAGTTTGGGAAGTTGTACAGCGAAATGTCTTTCACCTGCACCATCAAGCCCAACGCTTCAGCACATCTCGCTTCCACCATTGAGAACTGTCATGCAGTCAGGGAACTGAGGTTTGCTGTCCATTGGTCTGATTCATGGAGAATCGAACGACAACATTCCTCATCTGCAATGTGCTGACACGCTTGTGCGGTCTTCGAGTTCCCTGTAGCTTGCTGCTTTGCTTCCAAGCATGCTGCAGGATGCTGCGATCTGCAGCTGAGGCTGGGGCTCCTCGCTAGAGTCAGAAGCATTCTGCTTCTCACCCGAACTTCGGGGAGCCACCTGGCGCGACGAATATGTGTTTAGGAGGCCCTCCTTGCTTTCATGGATGCCGGGACTGTCTTGCTCAGAGCAACTACAATCTGCACGGCTTATCCATGGGATTCATTGAGGTGCATACTCGGAGCAAATTGAGATTTAAACGTCCAACCCACCGATGTGCGGTGTCCTTGCCTGCGACATGTTGAAGACAACTTTCACTGTCCTCGACGGTCATCAAGCGACACAGCTGACCAAGCCAAAGCCTTCGGCAGTCCTGCCATCTTGTGGCACGAGGTCATCGCAGTTGGCGTTCGGATCTTTCAAGCGAGCCTCGGCAACGCGTACACAAAGCAGACATCGTCAGGATCGCGCAAAAATTCTCGAGCAAGGCATAGCACCCTACTTCAAGGCATTCTATGCTCGGCAGTGCTTGAAGCTCCTCCGATGCCGGCCTGGCAGCGTCGTCACTTTTTGCGTGACTAGCTTCAGTGACAACAGTCTTGGCATATCTCCTGCAGGCTTACATGGACTGACTTGGCGCCTTGGCTGGATACCATGGGCGACGAGCGGTGCTGAGACCTGCGAGGCATGCTGGGCCTACGATTCGACGATAGCCGAGTCTCAGCATCCATTGAGCTTCCGACGAAAACGAATACCGCAACCGCGGCCTTAAAAAGCGCCGCTACAGCATTGTAGGTCAAACAGAGCTGGCAAAAGACAAACCGGCCGGCTCTGCTTTCAAGGGCAACTCCATTGTGTGAACCTTACAGAGCTGACCTCGCCATGACGAGTGTCAAGGGCTGGGTTACAACAGCCAGTCTCCATACAAGCTCAACACTCGTGATTTCAGCACCAGCCTCTCATCTTGGCATTCCGCAACTGCACTTGTGAACGTGTTGAACGATACCGGATCCTTGCCAAATCACGATTGGAGGCTCGTCCACTCTCCGGGTCGGCAAGACAAAATGACAGTTGTGCCTGGGCTGTCTGAGACGGGCAGGGACTCCCCAACCAGGCAGCCAAAATGCAACTCGCACAGAGAGATCTGCAAGAGCCACAGGCATCTATTGCTCTATGTCGCCTGATGTAAGCACTTCACTTGCAAGCATGGTATGTCCGGGCCAATTTTTACCCCGCAGCCCGGCGAGGCTGTTGTCCGCGAACTCAAACGAGTTCGAGAAGTGCCGGAGAGATGCGACGCTGGAGTGGTCCAGGGGCTTAGAGCGTGGAGTCGGCCGTCTTCGATGGTATGGGTAGAATGTGCACCTGGAACCCAGAGGAAGCCAGCGCAAAAAAAAAAAAGCAAGGCAGAGTGGCTAGGTCTAGGTCGCGCGCATGGACATGAGGAACCGATTGGCCAGCATCAGGACCATCCTGAATGCCGAGTCGGGAAGCCTCCAGGAGGCCGAGCCGAGTAGCCCAGAACGCGAGCTCGGATCTCGTCAGCTTGCGGCCTCTGCTCCGTAGTGGCGCTCCACCACAGCCTGTACCAAGCGAACAGTGCGGAACAAGTCATCGAACTCCTGCGAAGCCACATTTAACATCCAGAAAGCTCTGTCTCGCCACTTGCCCTGCTCCTCCTCAGAGAGGTCCGCGAGCCTGGGAGCCACCCTTCGCGGCGTGACCTGCACCAGACTGTCCCCACGGAGGCGCAGAGAGACACACTCAGGCGTACCAGGACATGGCCAGGAACCAGGGGCTTCAGGTTGACGAAAGCCAGGCTCAAGCCACTTGGTGAAGCAAAGAAGATGTGCGACCTGAGTAACTGTGACTTTCTTGCAGGTTGCAGCTTGACTGCCAGCTGAGGCTGCCAGCCCAGGTATGCGATACCGAGCGAAGGCCTGCCGTTCAAGCGCAGCGTTGTCGTACCGCTGGACTACTCTCACTCTTAGCCTGCTCTTCTGGAATGTTGCCATGTCCTGCGAAACAAACTTGCGAATGCCGCCAAACGAAAAACATCAACTAGGTTTGCTGCAGCAGCCACGTCTGAAGCTGCACAGCAAAACTGCCGCGGTTGAATTTTGCATTGTCTGCGAGGCCATGAGGCCGCAGCCGCACACAGCCGCAGAGTCTCCACAGCTCTGTCCTTCGATTGCAGCGCGGTAGCCGCCGGCCTCCTGAGCCATGAGCTCACCTCGCGAGCAGATCGCAGTCAGGGCACACAAGATTCAAGGCAATCAGGCTTGTCATGGCTTGTCACATGGCATACTGAACGAATATTGGTCGTGCAGGATTCTCTGTCATGTTCGAGCGCACGCTTGTCAGATGATGTTCTTGGAGTTAGCTCCGCCATCGTGGGCATGAGTCGCTGGACGAGTTCTGGCCGTGACAAACCCTGCACCCCAAATCATGAACCCTAATCTTTTCGGGGTCAGCGCCCTGAATGCTGGTGGAGTATTTCGGTTGGCATGCCACACATCTGACTTTGGTTACAAGTTCGAAGAACCAGCAAGAATTTTGGTGGGAGGCACATGCGAGGTCGGGCGACCCGTGGCTGCGACACGGGAGCGAGCGGGGCTTTTGCGGGGAAGAGAGGGCCCCCAACCCCGAACACTTAAACTAATACTAAACACAAATTCAAGCAATTCGGACAATCAGCCCAAATGCAAAGCTCGGAAATCATCAAATTCGAAAAACTAACCATCATTTCAGGCGGACAGCCGGAAATCCCAGAATTAAGCACATGGATTATCAAAAATCAGGAATTGGGCATCTAGACACCGAAACGCCGAAACCCAAAAAAAACTGACTAAAGACTTGAAAACCAGCCGGAAATCCCAAGTATGTTGAAATCAAGCCGAATGCCCGGAAATCCCCTACTTCAACATAATCCGGCCGCTGAACCAAAATCAAAAGCTTCGAGCTGAAACTGGAGCAACGAATTTCGAGCAGGCAGAATGAAAACGGTGTCGGAATAAGGAACAAAATCACTGTATGTTTACCCCAGCTCGCCTTACGAAAGGAGCTTGATCGGAAACCGCAACGCCGAGACACCAAAAGAAAGATGATTGGGACGATAGGGAAGCGTGGTCGCCGCATGATGGGCAGTCTTCCTAAACCCTGAACCCTCAACCCACCCCAAAGGCGAATGGCTTGGGGCCGAAAAGCCTGGTTACTAGTTTCAGGCTCCGGTGCCAAACCTAATCCTAAACACATGAAACCCTAGATGCAGAAAATCGAGACTCTAAACTAAACCCTAAAGTACCCCAAACTTTTACACCTAAACACTAGATCAACCCGAATACCCTTAACAGGAACGCCCTGCACGCACACCCGAATAAGTAAACCCGAACAGCTTAAAGCCAAAATACCCTTCAACCGAATACCCTGAAGCATGGATCTGACCCGATGTTCCCAAACCAGAGAAGCCCGACCCTGAAACAGCGTGAAACCACAAAACTGCCCCAGGCCTCACATGCCAAAACCCTAAAGGCCACAACCCGAATAGTACCCTTTAAACCCGAATACCCTAAACTCGAATACCCAACCAGCATACCCAAAACTGCCAACACGGTAAGCCGGAAAAATCTCCAAACCCGAATACCCTCAACCTGAGAGACTGCTAAACCCGAATACCCTGAGCCGCAAAAGTCCTTGACCCGCATACCCAAAACCCGAACACACCAAAACTTAATTACCCTAAACCTGACAACCCTAAACCCGAATTCCTTAGAACCGAACACCGTAAACCCAAAATACCCTAAAACCGGAATACCTTAAACCCCCTGAAAACCCTAGACACTGAAACCGCCCGCCCTAAACTCAAGGCTGGCAGAGCACGTAAAGACTCGATGTCCAAGATTTCTCGCACGTTCCAAGCCGGTTTTGCCAGGAGGTGTCAGTTGCTTAAGAGTTTACGGCACTGGGATTTGGGGTTTTTCCCTTCGAACCAGTCGCTGAGCAGGAAATCCCCCTTTCTATGACAAAGTTCACGTACGAGTGCATCCGACTCCCAGCGAATCCATGCCCCAACCAAATGAATTTCCACTACGACCCCGTCCGTTCCGCAGAGCATCCATGCCCCAACCGTGTTCACGTGCACTACGATCCATCCTTTCCACAAAGCATCCATGCCATGCAACAACCCTGTAATTGCAATTTATAGCGTCCTCTGCGACCCCCGTCCGTTCACAAAGCAACCACGCACCATTCATGTTAACGTCCGTGCTCGAGTGTACCGTTCCCCCTCAGCATCCATGGCCCAACATTTGACACCTGCCAGAGCATCCATGGACCACCCGTGATAACGTTAGCTTGTAGAGTTACAGAACATGATAGTGCGTGGCCATTTCGAGCACTTTACCTGCAAACACCCGCAGCTCTGAAATGCTGCTGAAGTCCTGCTTGTCAGCAAAGTCAAACATGTCCTAAAAGTGCAACCCAAAGATTGAAAATCCAGACCCTGAAACCTAGACCTAGACGTTTTACTACCCCAAACAAGAATACCTGAAGCCCAAACAACCCTAAACCCGAAAGTCGGAAACCCTAAACTCCCCTGAACCCCAATACCCTGAACCCGAAACCTCCATAACCCGAATGCATCCGAAACTCGAACAGGCTAAACTGCTGAGACTTGAAACCCTAAACCCTAAACCCTACGCTACCCAGAACCCGAAACCCGTGCCCCAAACCCGAGCTGTCAAGGTAAAGTGGTAAAACCCTGGACTCTATAGACCCTGTGAAACCTACATCCTAAACCCGAAACTATCCCAAACCCGATACCTGCACAGCACAACCCTAAACCCGAACACCCTCAAACCTAAACTACCCTGAACCCGAATAACCTAACCCTTGAACCCTAAACCCGAAAACCCAATACCCGAGGCTCACCTCGGACCCTGAGCCCTATAGGTACCCAAACCCGGATACCCTGAACCCGAATATCTTAAACCCGAGCCAAGCCTGGAAAAATCCAGACACTGGAACCTGCGACCCTAAACAACCCCAAACAAGAATACCTGAAGGCCCAAAACACCCTAAACCCGAAAGTCGGAAACCCTAAACTACGCTGAACCCCAATACCCTGAACCCGAACCCCCCCAAACCCGAATGCATGCGAAACCCGAACAGCCTAAACTGCTGAGACCTGAAACCCTAAACCCTAAGCTACCCAGAACCCGAAACCCGTGCCCCAAACCCGAGTGATTAACGTGGAAACCCTCAATTGTAATCTACGACACTGAACCCGAATCCCAAACCCCCAAACCCTGGATACCCTATACCCTGCAACCGTAAATCCTAAATCCGACACTATCCTACATTCCGGATACCTGCACATAATATATATATATATATATATATATATTGATATCTTCTCATTAGAATATTCTATCCCAAACAACCTGAATCCCAAATCCCTGCACACGACTGTCCTAAACCCGAGAACGGAACACCGGAGACCTCTACCTTAAAGCACTACACAATCACGTGCACAAACCCGAATGTCCTGAACCCCAAAACTCTGAATCCGAGTATCCTGAACTCGAACAACCTAAACCCGAATATCCTAGAGCCACTAGACCCTAAACTCGAGAATCCTCAAGGCTTTTTGAAACCCCAGACCCTAAACCGTCAGCTACCCCAAGCCCAAACAGAAGAAAAACAAGCCCAACACCAGATTACCCTAAACCCGTGCAACCCTAGACCTGAAACCCCAGACTCTGAACCCTAAACGAAGCCAACACTATCCAACACTCATTACCTGCATTTCATTGAAACCCTCAACCCGAATACCCTACACCCCAATAGACCTGAACACCCTGAACCCAAAATTCCCTTCCCCTGGAAGCCGCGTGAAACCCCAGAAGCTAAGCCCTAAAATACAAAAAAAAACTGAAACCGAATACTCAAACACGAACGACCTAAAACCAAGTACCTGAATCCGAGAACGCATACCCAAAACATACTTGGAACCCGAAAGTCCTAAATCCGAGTGCACCAAACCCACCTTGAACCTGAATACCCTAAACCCGAACACCCTAAAATCGAACACTTTAAACCCAAAATACCTTAACAATACCTTAAAACCGGAATACCTTAAATCCCGAAACCCCCCACCCTAAACTCAAGGGTCGCAAAGCCAGCAGGCTAGTTGCTTAAGAATGACCACCGGTCGGTGTAGCCAGTTGCACTTTCGAAACATGGTTGATTTGCTGACAGGTGCGGGACTTACTTTAGCAGGCTTTCCTGCCTGCGGGTGTTTGCAGCTAAAGTGCTCGAAATGGCCACAAGTCTGCACCATCATGTTGTATAGTCCTCTACAGACTAACCATAGACGGTATCAAGGTTGGTCGTTATCGTGGCTGGGCCATGCTCGAAGTCGCAGTGGACACTCAGGTGGTTGGGCATGGATTCGCTCCAGTCGGAAACACTCGTACGGTCCCGTACGTGAACTTTGTCCGGCAAGGCGTATTTACTTCGGTTTAGCTTGGCTTGGCTGGGCTACGAATAACAAGTCAAACTTTCGTCCTACGCAGCGTCATTTTGGGGTGCCAGGTCCTACCGCAGCGCCATTTCGGGGTGCTAGAATCCAGAGCAATTATCTAGAGGCATTTGTCGCAGTTGATTTTCTTTGCACTTGCACAAGGCTGGACTGCAAGCCCCGGATTGCCTGCTACCCAGGACAAAACTTCGCCAAGCGGGCTGGAACTCAATGTTGAGGCATTGAAATCCCCTTTCCACCGCAGACTCCTCACACAAGGTCCCAAAAGAAGCTCTCTGTCGAGAACTACACAGTAGCATGTTTTGATTCCGGGAAATTGACTGCTCTGCCACACTGGCCACGTAAACCGGACCTGCCACGGCATATGTTCCCGGTGTATCCAAAACACCATCCGTATATCGAAACTCCCGGTGATGATTTCGGAATCATGTCCGATACTCGCAACTAAGCCACACAGGACATGTAGCTTTGATCGCAAGCAGGACACGGTGAGGCAGTCTCATTTGTTGCAAAAATAGGGGTCACGGTGAGGCATCGGGAGGACCGCAGTTTTGACCTACCGGACCTATCTTGTTCAAGACGTCTTGCGGAGCAGCGGAGTGCCGAGGCTTGGAGTAAAAGTTCTAGTACAGGTCCGGAAAAGTAAGGGTTTTCTGGGGGTAGCAGCTCAAATTACGTGGCTGGCACGTGGAATATGCTGTTACCCGTTACTACTTTGATGTTCCGGCTGAAGATGCCAGAGCTCTCGCTGTTGGGAAAACAAAAGTCTTGACGACTTTTCTTGTTTTAAATTGTCTTGCGGAGTAGCGGAGTACCAACAAGTAAGAATTACATGGCCTGGCCAGCGGATTTTGTTGCACACCCTTTTCCAACTATGTTACTTTAATGTACCGGAGTGCGGAGTGGGACCCTTGTGTTCGTAAGTGCCCGGCAAGTCGCCCCGGAACCCTACCCGGAACCCGCCCCGCAACCCGCCGCGGAACCTGCCCCGGACCTTGCCCCAATCTGCCCAAACCTTACCCAGCACCCTAATATACCTGATCCATACACTCGGACCCTACAGTAAACCGTCAAGTCCTATAGCCTTAACCTGAAACTACCCTATACCCGAACGCCTACATGAACGCTTACGGGAATGCTTTTCCAATGGCACAAGAACCCGGGGCCCAGAGCAGCCATCCGCAAGTTGTCAACAAGACAACGCAAGACCGTAAATGGAATCAGGTCTTGAGACATATTCCACTATCATCTTTTTGCAAACACGAAAAATGCCGTAGGAGATTATGCAGATGTGCCACAGAGCACGGCGACCCTTTACATCTGTCAAGCCCCAAAGTTCGAAAGGCAAGAAACCTGAAGTCTGGTCTGGACATTAATTAAGCGAGAGAGCATTGCAGAAAACAACATGGTTGGGACGGCATCGAAAAAGCACCGGCAAGGGCAAGCCACGTACAACCACAACGCAAGGACCAGTGACTGTGAAAGCAGTGCAACCCCACCAACCCGCCCGCAAAACACAGATCAGAGTGCCAACGCTGGAAACGACACGAAGGACCGACACCATCACAGATCGGAGGTGCGATTTGGCAAAGCCGCAGACGAGCGTGCCAAATGCTCTGTAAGTGCCCGCAGTCTGCCTACATAGAGTTAAATTTCCTAACACCCACCAGAACAACACCCTGCTTTCAGCACCAACTTCCCAAAACCACATGTCTGGGCACTGGACTACAGAATTACCGCAACTCATCGAAGAGTATGCTCCCCCTTCAAGAGAATAGGCTTATGAGATAATGAAGACAGGATGGCTTGTGGCTGCAGTGACTAAAGACGGCGAAAACCATTCGATCTATGCTACCAGTATTATGGTTGTGACATTTTTCGGCTTGTTTGCGAGAGTGTTGCAAAGACATTTGCGGATCTTGTGCATGCGGACTTTTGTGATGCGAAGTTTGCAGGTTGGTTGCATGTTGTCGGACTGTTCCTTTTTTGCAGATATGTTGCATTCTGCTGAATTCCGCGAATGCACTCACAAATCAAGCAAAAGATTCGGAACAAGGACGTCATGCCAGTCGCAAGCGATCTTTTGGCATGGAGACAGTTTTCGGGAAAATGCTGCGACTTCTCGCTGCTGCCGGTGCCACCCGCATCAATACAAGATCCCAGCTGCCTGTCCGTTCCTTGCGATGCTCATCCGCTGGCCATGCCTGAACTGCGAAGACTGTAGTCTTGTCCCAAAATCGCAGCGGCCGAGGCGACAGAGATCAGATTTCTGAGAACAATGCTATGGGAGGCGGCTGCAGGGCTCCTGAGAACGATCTGACTTCGTCTTATAGCCACCCCTTCTGCATAGCCATCGCAGCCTGCAGGCCATGGCTTCCATGCTTCCAAAGCGGCATAGACCTGCCCAGCTTCTGCCCAGCTTAGCACCAGCTCTTGGCTTTTGCAGATCCCGGAGCCTGGTCGTTCTCTTCGAGATCGCCGGACTTACGGGGAACCACATGTAGGTGAACCTGAGCCCTTAGCTCATCATGTGAGGATTTCACGACGACGCAGGTTCAACTGTTCACACTACGAGGCTCAAGCACAGGTTGACCAGAAAACCAGCCATCGAAGACGGCCCAATTGCTTGCCTCGGCCACCAATCACTGTAAGGGCCACCTTGTTTCGCAGCTCCGCAGCAACACTCGTAGCTCGGATCTATTTCGCACGGAATGGAGTGCGAGGTCAGAGATTCGCAATGGAGGCGTGGAGGCTCGACGCAGGTCGGATTGTGGCACATGATGGTGCTGGTCAAAACTGCCCTCCCACATCCACAAAACCACCACAACCCGACAACCCACCTATGTTATGGACCAAGAAGAGGAGGTGTTTCAGACGGCAGCGCTTTCAGGCTTGGGCTGTCGTGGCGAGTTCTCGCTCCAAGTGCACCTTCCGAAACTTCAATGCCATGTCATGCCATGTCCAACCGTGCGCGGATCAGACCTGGGCTCTCAAAGCGGTTCTCCAGAGATCAAGCCTCCAAGACTTACAGGACGAACGCAGTGCCGGTTTGCTTCCACCGAGCGCCGCGCATGGCGTCTTCTGAAAGCTGGCTGAGTCCTCGTCACAGACTCGCTGCTGATCGCTGGTCGCCCAGGTTCTGTTGCCTCTGAGCCCCTCACGGCAAGCGAGCGACTTAGCAAGGATGATGGTGTGGCCTGGCCTGCGCTGCTTGGATTGCAAGCACACACGCACCGGGGCATTGCAGCAAACTGCAGCCCGCACAGCACAGGCCGTAGACCGCAAACGGCCACCTGCGATGGAACATGCAAGCAGATCTCGGGTGGAGACACCGGACCGTGGTACTGCACTAGATAAACAGCTTCTGGAAAGCCTGGCAAAGGTGGCTCTGTATTTACCGCCGGGCAACAGTATCCGTGGATTCCAGAACCACTGAGCTGGCCGCTTCCCTGGCATTCGAAAGACCCCGGCCCCAAATCTTTTTGAGCAGCAACATCTCAGAGCCCCTGAAACTTCGCCAGCCTCGCCGTAGCCGGGTCGGAAGAGCCGCTTCATCGGAACCTCGAGCCACCGTGGGTAAAGAACCAAGCGCGCGATTCTCCTGTGACACCCGCAGTGTAAACGATGTTCTGCCTTCTGCTGTTTCACCTCTCTTTCGTTTTCGGCGGCGCTCTGCGCGTAAACACGTCAATCCAGCACGGTCACTGGGGCAGGAGACTCGGAATCCACCTGAGGAGGAGCTTACACATCGTGCTAGCTTCATGCGAAAGCGATCACGGGGATCCAGTCATATCATCAGCAAGGGGCAAGACTCCATGGTAGAAACACGGCCTATTGTGGCTAGTTCACAGTCGAGCCTCCTGGCTCAATAAAGTAGAAGGTTGTTCGACTGCTGCGATGCTCGGAGGAGATCCAGCCGATGACTCTTTTTGCAGAGTGCAGCGGAGTGGGCAATGATCGCTTCCTTGGCATGCAGCAGTAGTTTGAATTTATCGTGTAATATGCAGTTCGCTGTCAATCTGGCTTGGAGTGGAACATAGTGGGAACACTGGCCTGCTATGCCACAACTTTTTCCCACTCCTTGCTGACTGCCAGTAGAACACCGCCCCAGGACAGGTCTGTTGAGCGTTGGGCCCTTCGAGCCTTGTGGGCAAGAGGACACCCTCGAGAGAATGGCGTCGGGATCGTGCTCGTCTTCAGGCTAACCTAGACTCTACATGACCGACGCTCGTCAAACTATACTGTTACCATGCGTGAGGCATCTCTGAAAAGCGTGCAACGGGTCGGGTCTGCTGGATCTGCAAGCTGTCTCCCCCAGCTCTGCACTTGAAATCACTTGCAAGAGGGATCCGTAAGTAGGCTTGGGAGACATTGGCGCACCAGCAAGCCCGCTTCTCGAGTGTTCGGGGGTGAGACTTGCAGGATCTTGCAGGCGAGTTTTCTCGGAATCCCGTTCCGAACCAATAAATCTGGAGTTGGCACGGGAAAGAGAAGACGAAAAGCTTTTGAGACTTAAAACGGCTCAGCGACATGAGGCAAGTCTGCAGGAGGGCCACCTGCCTCAAAATGATGTCACTTACGCTAGATATTGTGCGTGCCTGTCCACGAGTTGACGAAAGTTTCTCATGCGACTGCGAAACTCATGTCGCGAGCAGTCCAAGTGCGTATTACGAAACGGGCGTGGCCTGGCCTCATCAACCAACCAAGCCCAAGCTGACTTGGATGAAATGTCGAAGTCTCCTGGCTCAAACGCTTTTCTGCCCTGAATTGCAAGGCAGCCCGGCGAAGTTGCTGGAGGTGTTAAGCCTGTAAAGCTTCTGCTTTTGAGCTGGCACCCGGGTTGGGTGCAGTGGTCTCGCTGACGGCAGCTGTCTCAGCAATGGCGCTGGCCATCCGGGTCGGAGCCGCCACAGGGGTGTCCCTGTTTGCTGCAGGTGTCTGTGTAACAAGTCTCTGTTGGTTGCCACCAGGTCCCTGCAGAAGTGTGCGATCCATCAGCTCTCCACGCAGGCTGGGAACCTCAAGCCCCAACGCCTTAAACAATCGTAGCTCCTCGGTCCGTGCCATGGGCAAAGATCCCACGGCCAAACTACTCCTTGAAGGCCGAACAGGGCCCAGAGACAGCTGCAGACGATCGTGGGAAGAGCTTACCCGCAAAGCTTCTAGATTGCAGTCTGCCGGGGGGCGTAATTAAGTACGCCTTGAGTAAGTTAGTTCGTTCATTTTTCCTCCAAGGCTCCGAGGAAGCCGTTCCTGTCCGCGCCCTGGCCTAGAATGTCACACGCCTCCAAGCGAGCCAACATCTCCTAATCAGGAGGGAGG